TTCACTACACTGCTCCCAGTGACAGGGGCAAGCATAAAACAGGGATGGTGGTGGCAAAATTGCTCATGTGAGATGCTAGTATTTTAAGAATTATGTATTTGAAAATCCAGATGACAGTGAGCAAGAATTTGAGACAGAGAGTGAGACAGAGCTCTTGCATCTTCTGGTTCACTCTTTAAATGGCTTTAGTAGCCAGGGTTGGGCCTGCACAAGCCAGGAACCATGGTCTCCCACCACCTGACAGGGTCCAAGCATTTAGACCGTGGCCATCCTCTGCTGTTTTCCCAGTCACATTAGCAGAGAGCTGAATCATAACCAGAGCAGACAAGCCTCAAATTGGTTTTGCCATAGAAGATGCTAAGGCCTTAAACATTGGCTAAATTTGCTATGACACAATGGTAGCACCAAAATGGTAGTATTTTTTATTTGAGGTTCCTTAATACATAAACTTTCCACGAAGACCAAAATCGAGTCAAAGAAATAAGTGTTTCCTGATCATAAACGCTGAAGTCTAAACAACACTAAGGTTTTGATGATGTTTTATAATCCCCTTGTGTGTATATCTGTAATAAAAAACGTTGGATTGCAGATAACAGGAAATGGAGTATTTACAAGTAACGTTAATCCTTTCTCAAGCAATTTGTTCAGTAATAATACATTTAAAAAAATGAGAGAGGGAACCAGATAGAGCTTACAACCTAGGGATACTGAGAGCAGTCTTATCAAAAAAGCAGCTGGGGAAGAGGATGAGGCCCAAATAGGCAATGGAACTCAGCGAGGAATGGGAAGGAAAGACATGGGAGTTACACGGATTCTCACTTGTCAAACTCATCGCAAACATTTGTCAAACAAAACATCAGAGACTTTAAGAATTAACATGAGGGGCCTTCAAAATGTGCATGGAAAATGCATATTAAGAAAAAAACTATGCATAGATTTCAAAATTGTTTTACACCAACATCAACTTATCTTTAAATTTTATTTTTCCAAGAACTTTTCGAAGTATTGCTCATATGAGGACACGGTAAAGATGGGCTTGAGTACAAGTTTTCAGTTTGGAGGGGGTTATGATTAGTACATCAGAACTCAGGTGTTCTCAGAGTCACACATTTCCCATTTTGTTGATCTTGGGAATAAACGTCACTCATTCACTGACATGTTATTTTAGATCATTTGCAGGAGGCAAATTAACATGTGAACTGGGGAAAAGCCCTACTTTCCATTATGGAGAGCCAGAAAAGATCTCAATATGAGTAAGTGCTCCGTAAAGCATGAACTGCTTATAGCTGTGTAAAATGTCTGCTCAAGTTTATTGACTGGTTTGTTAATTAGACTAATAATAAATGAGAACATAAAACATTTTGAAAAGTAAATCTATGCAAAATGTGTGGGTGAACATGTTCATCAAGACGCATGTGCAGTCGTCCAGCCATATATCACCCTTTCAGTGTGTTTCCTGGATGTTCTATGAATTTAAATATGGAAATCTTCTAAAGTTATTGATGTTTTAAAAAATAACATTTTATTTATTTATGTTTTATAATCTTTTATTTTAATAAAGTTTTGTTTAATGCATAATATTGGACATTTAAAGATTTCAGCGCAATAGTTCAACATATATATGAAGCATAAACTGATCTACCCAGGCAAGTAGTTTTGCCATTTCCTCATCTAAATTTATTGATTTTTAATCTAGGACAATGTATCTTATGAAAGAACTCCTTTAAAGTAGAATGCGGTGCCATCTCGGCCTGGGCTGGGCACTGGATTGACCTCGACAGACACCCCACCAGCCAGGAGAGGCAGAACTTAGCTCTGGAGCTGGGAATTTAAAGCAATGGCTGTAGCAATGTGGATGATGCCATCTTGGCCTGGGTGGCCACTGATCAACGGTATCATTGGTGCACCGGCTACCTGGCAATGAGTTCTGGGAATTCAGAGTTGACAAATTGCTACCTAGGGACACCCATGGATGAGGCAACCATGCATGTAAGGTGAGAAATGACTCCCAAGGGACTCCAAATGACCGGGTCACTGTACTTGCAGGTAAGCAAGGGGACTGAGACCTGGTGGTATGGAGGGGAGAGACCAGAAGACCTATATGGGTTAGACTGATGCACCAGCCCACATTGGAGTCCTGGGTTGGACTTGTTAGCCTGGAATATTGCTGACCACCATATGCCAGTCAATGTGAAGGCTAGGGATAGGATTTATCTGGCAGGGATAGATGCCAGAACCTGACTGAGTGTCGGAACTGGGGATGGGTCACTTTAGGCAGGGCCATGACACTAAGCAGCACATGAGAGAGCCAGGTATGAGGGTTGATTCCATAGGGGATTTGTGGATACAGCCCTGTGGAAGTACAAACCCCATTGGTTATCTTAAGACTGGATGTGGTCCTGGGAAATTGTAGTTTCCTCCGGCACACCCAAGAACTTTGGATAGCAACAGACATGGCTGGGGAGTTAAGGAGATACTCCAGCTGGTTTGGGTTTCTCACCAGTGAGCGTGAGAGCCAGTAGCAGGTTGGGCTGGACATGGTTATAGCCTCCCTCAGCATGGGTGTGTACTGGATTGGGGAGCAACAGACTGGGCTGCACTCCAGTACTCACTGGTACTCATGACAGCCGGGGTAGCTGTAGAACAGCCTGGGCTAGGTCTTGACCTCCGCTGAACCACATGAAAGCTGTGCCTGGGCACGGTGTGGCTGGGCTGCAAATACCCAACAGCAAGAATCAGAATGGGTGAAGACTGGTTGAAGAAGGCCACTGTCCCTGGCAGAACAAGAGGTGGACAAAGCCAGCCTGGGCCAAGAACCCACTGGTGTGCATGAGATCTGCTACTGGGAGGAGACCTGACAAGGAGCTGGGGAAACTCCTTCGTAGGGAAGCAGCCAATGCAAGTGAGAGCAAGAACCAAGTCAAGGAGCAACCTTGAGCATGGCAAGTTACAGAGCCTGCCGGCATACATGTGGGTTAGGTCTGGGGACAGACCTGGCTGGGCCAATTCATAACATCCACTGGCAGGTTCAAGAACCAGGGAGCTGGATCTGCAGGGATTAGAACCGGTACCCATATGGGATCCTGGCGCATTCAAGGCGAGGACTTTAGCTGACAGGCCACTGTTTCAGGCCCAGGGGATTCTACAGGGCTCGGGTTGCCTGGCCTGGGCTTTGGGTCCTGCCTGTGAGGTGGGTGATAGGTTTATGAGCCTGGGGCTGGGGGATCCAGTGGGGCTTGGTTTTACTGGCCCAGGTCCCTTGGCCCACCTGTGAAGTAGATGCCAGGTGCATGAGCCCTAGGGTCAGGGGATTCTGCAGGGCTCGGGTTGCCTGGCCTGGGCTTTGGGGCTTGCCTGTGAGGTGGGTGACAGGTTTATGAGCCTGGGGTTGGGGGATCCAGTGGGGCTCGGGTCGCCTGGCCTTGCTCCCTTGGCCCACTGGAGCAATGGGTGCTAGTTCTGTGAGTACCTGGGGTGCTGGATTTGTCAGGGCTCAGGTCACCTGGCCCAGGTCCTGAGACCCACATACATGGTGGGTTCCAGGTTTGTGAGTCCCAGGGACAAGGGATCCAATGAGGCTCATGTCACCGGGTCTTGGTCCTTGGTTTTACCCACCAGTAAAGAAGGTGTAGCTGTGGATGCAGAGTCTGATGCAAATGGAGACTATGGCAGTCCATTTGGTACCATGGCAGAGAAAGGAGAACAGAGCAAATTGGACAACTACACCAGCAAATGATGACAAGAAAAATCAGGGTGGGGCCCGGTGCAGTGGCGCAGTGGTTAAGGTCCTCGCCTTGCAAGCCCGGGATCCCATATGGGCACCGGTTCTATCCCAGCAGCCCCGCTTCCCTTCCAGCTCCCTGCCTGTGGCCCGGGAAAGCAGTCAAGGACAGCCCAAAGCTTAGGGACCCTGCACCTGAGCAGGAGACCCGGAAGAGGCTCCTGGCTTTGGATCAGCATAGTATCGGCCGTTGCGCTCACTTGGGGAGTGAATCATTGGATGGAAGATCTTCCTCTCTGTCTCTCCTCTCTGTATATCTGCCTTTCCAATAAAAAAAATAATAAAAATAAATCTCAAAAGAAAAAGAGAAAAATCAAGGTGAATGGAGACTTGAGGTCCACTATGGCAGCCAATGGTCATTGGGAGAGGTTTGCCTCAACCTTGGATCGGCAAAATCAACAGCATTTTAGGACCCTCAAAATGAGTATTATACCAGGACCGTGGGTTGACATCAGGTCGCGGTTCCCCATCCCCGAGAACTGGGAAATTTGGAAGACCAGGTGTGGCTTCCCCTTTTATCTTCCCCCTTTCCTTAGAGACAATAAAAAATGGAGAATTAAGAAACAATGATTTCACCCACTTTTCCTGATCCTCAATCCTTCCCACCCTGGCCAACCCTGTAATTACCATCAAATAAATAAATAAATAAATAAGAAATAGAATGCATAATATCCTCAATAGTGCTATTTTATTTTGATTTAAAAAGATTTATTCATTTAAAAGACAGAGACCCAAAGAGAAAGAAAAAGAAAGAGAGTTACCATCTCTGATACAGCAATTTATTCCTCAAATGCCTGCAACAGCTGCTGTTGGCTTGGGGCTAAATCCAGAATCAAAGAACTGAATTTGGGTCTCCTTTGTAGGTAGCAGGAATCCAATCACTTGAGCCAACTATGCTACCTCCTAGTATCTGTATTAGCAATAGGGTCTCAGGGATTGAGGCCGGTGGGAACCCAGGCACGGGGATGAAGGCGTAACCATGAGATCAAGTATGCACCCCAATAGTGAGTTTTTAAGCACAGTGGTCCAGCATGTGGATCACTCGCAGGCAGCCTTTTGAGTTTGGGTATAAAAGAATTAAAAGACATTGATCATTTTTAAAAATAAAATGATTGAAAGACATTGATCATGTTCTGGTTTGAGGTATACATTCTCATTCCCTCCAGGAAAGTTTCAATTAAACAACAGATACATGGCATTATCAAAAGAACTGGTAAGATTGGCAACTCAACAACAGTTTGCAAAGACACTCCCCTCCCTGATGGAGATGTTGTGAGCTTCAAGCATGGGTGAGGGCGTTGTGTGGGAAGAAGCTTGGGTTTGGCCCATCCGCATCTGTTATTCTTACATACAGCCTCACACTCATTTTTACAGGGAGGTCTTCTTTCTGGGACAAGATTTGGCCCAACACAGACTACAATCCAGAGCAGAGAGCAATGCAGGCGTACTCATTGGGGACACTCAGCTCAGCTTACTTGGTGATATTCTTAGTCACTGGAGCTGGTGGAGTTGAAAAGGTGTTTTTCCTGTGAAACAAAAACAAAAACAAAATTATGGTTAGAGAAGCACTCACAAGAAACTGTGACTTGCCCCTGAGATATCAATCAAGATTATATTGCGCATTTGGGCTTCTGGTTCCATCAACTGAACAAGAACAGAAAGAGTCTCTCCTACTATATCCAAAGATAATAGCCTTTATTTAAGGAACATCACATATACCTTAACTAGTCAATCTTAGCCACCCAAGAAAGAAAACCCTTCAGTACAAATGGGAAGTACTTGGTGTGATTGACTTACTTCTGCAGCAATTGTATGAGCCTCTGGAGCCATTTGGCTTGAGGTGTCACACACACAACTACCTTAGTCTTCAGCCAAAGTCTGGAGAAAAACGGACAACAAAACAGTGTTACATTTTAGTCACCCTTATACTTTTTAAAAAATAGAAATGCAGCATTTCATTTTTTAAAATGATTGGTTTGCTTATTTGAAAGGCAGTTCTAAAGAGAGAGGGAGGGACAAAGAGAATGATCTTCCATCCCAGTGTTTACTCCTCAAATGGCAAGGACAGCCAGGGCCAGGCCAAAGTCAGGGTCTCCCCTGTTGGGTGGCTGGGGCCCCAAGCACTTGAACCATCCTGTGCTGCCTTCCCAGGCACATAAGCATGGATCTGGATCAGAAGTGGAACAGCAGTCAAGACACCAACACCCACATAGTAAGTGGCATCTCACGTGGCGTCTTAACCAACTGCACCACCAGGCAAGCTGCCAAGTTGTACTTTTAACAATACAAGGTTTGGGTGTCGCTGCCTTCATTGGGGCAGTGAACGGGATTGGGGAGGGGCGCAACCTTGGGCCTGGGAGATTAAGCTTCCAGCAGCCTCCTGGCTGCTGGTGGGTCTCAGGACTGGGCCTCTCATGCCTAGATCCCAGACGACAGCCACCATGTGCACGTGGTGAACTGTTCCTGTGCGGCCAGTGCGCCATTTGATGCCAGGCTCCGCCTGCTGACCGCCCGGCCAGGAAGCTCTGGGGTTTTGTTTGTTTGAGTAGCTGCTTAGTTAGCTCCAGGTTGAACCCATTGTGCTTCTAGGATCTGAAACATTCGTAAAGATTCCTACTGGCAGTAACTCTTCCTTTGTAAAACTTGTAATCACTGAACAATGCCGACCACCAAATACCAGTCTATGCAGAAGCTATGGCTTGGGGTTTGTCCTGCAAAAGTAGCTCCAAAAGCTGGCTAATGTGTCAACTGGTAACGGAACATTGTAGATCAGGCAGGACTGAGCAAACCTTAGCCCACAAGCAAAACTAGAAACCAGGAGGGAGCAGAGGTCATGCCGAGCTAGGCTCTTGTACCTACTGGTCCACATGAGCCAGGGACACTAAACCACAGTGTCTAAGGCAGAGGTCAGAACAGGTGAGGGGCTGTGCCAAGCTGAGTCAGAGCATCCACTGGCATGCGAGTGAACTATGGCTGAGAACAGGCCGGGTTGGGGAACTAAGGGGACAACCCTAGCTGGGTTGAGGTTCCTGCCAAGGGGCGTGCGACCTGGAGTGGGGGCTGCATTCTGATCTGGAAATGGTTGTAGTCTCCTTTGGCACAAATGTGGACTGGAATTGGATGCACCAAACCGGGCCAGACCCCAACACCCTCTGGTGTCCTGGAGGACCAGGGCAGATGCGGGATGGACTAGGCAAGGTCTCAAACCCCTACTGAGCCATGTGTGAGCCATATGTGGGTATAGACGAGCCATGGTTGGGCTGAAACATCCAACAGCAAGAACCAGATTGGGTTGAAGGCCAGTCAGGAAAAGCCACAGTTCCTGCTATGACAGGAGGTGAACTGAGTAGGGCTGGTTCATCGACCCACTGGTAAGCGTGAAACCTGGCATTGGGAGAGGTTCTGATGGAGGAGCCTGGGCAACTCCTCTGGCAGGACACAAACCCGGCAGGTAAGCACAAGAAACATGATAGGAAACAGCCCAGAACAGGCCATGGAAAGTTTCCCACTGGCATACAATTGGCAGGGGTTGGGGGAAGACCAGGCTGAAGCTGTCCACGTCATCCACTGGCAAATCCAGGCACCAGTGTGGGTCGAGCCAGGTTCAGTCGCAACAAAGACTAGTGCACAATACGGAATGCCAAGGTGAGGTTGCCTGTACCGGAAGGGACCACAGTGCCCAACTAGCAAGCATGAGAACAAGGAAGGAGGAGGCAGAGCCGGCAGGGGAATAAGGGGTGGTTCCTTTGCTGGACAGCTACTCCTGCTGGAGAGCATGAGCTGGGATGGGGGCAGACCAGACTAGGCAGGGCTACCACATCTGTGTGCTCAAGTGGCCTGGATCAGGGAAAAGCCGGGCTGGGCGGATTATTCCTACTGGTGCAAACAAAATTAGAGTGGGTAAGGGTTGTTTGGGCTTAGCCACATCATCAGCTGGAATCTGGGAGTGGGAGAGGCCTGGGAGGGAAATAGTGGGCTCATCCCTCTTGGGTCACCACTTCCATAGGCATACTGGCATACTGGCAATCCAGGGTAGGGGGCGGGCCTGGTGGGGATTATTGCGGGATCGCTCCAACTAAGCTCCCACTGGTTTATGTGAGGGCCAAGTATGTGCTGGTCAGAACCAGGCTGGACTGCAACACCCATTGGTTCCAGCGGAAGTTGGGAGTGAAAACAGAACCAACCCAGCAATTACAACCACCAGCTGACCAGGGCGATGGACTGTGCCGGGCCCTGTACTTGCTAGCACATACAAGAAGCTTCTTTGAAGATCTTCCTAATCTAAATGCTGGACTCAGAACCCTAACCAAGAAAAGAGAGAAGACAGAACAGATCAACCAACCATCTCAGCTATGATGGAGTATGTCAATCAGTGGATTCTTCAAGGATCTCATAGTGCTTGGAGTGTCAAGATTGGCAGCGATTCATAACTGCTGAAATATCAAAACCACTTGAGCAGGAACCTCAGAGCATGCCCTACATCTGGGACCTGGGGAGGGTGGGAAACTGGGTGGGCCTTCTCCCTTAATACTCCTTTTAAACATGAAGGAAACAATATGGAAAAAATACTAGTCTTATCCACTTTCCTGTAGCCCTTGAACCTTTTTACCCTAACTATATAAATATTATAAAAATAAATAAATAAATAAAATAAATATAAAAAAATAACAACAAAAAAAGAAGGTTTGGGTGTGAAATTGGGGCTGGGCAGTTCAGAGTATGGAACAAGTGATTTGTAGTGTAGGGTCTGATGAATAGGAAAAACCATTTTGGATTCAACAGGTGTGAGCTGCTACAGCAGAATGCAAAGCTCAGATGTCCCAAGTTTGTGTTTTGTCAATAACATGGTATGAACTGGAGGAAGGCCCACATTGCTACTTCAAGGTGGCTTCACCTCTAATGTCATACCACAGTCTAACATGTGCTTGTTCCCTGAGCTTGGTAGAACAAAATAGGTAATGCAAAAACACTCTCAACTATCTTTTATCTGAAAAACATTCAATGAATTATTTTGTATTTTAAAATTTTTATTATTTATTAATGTGGGGGCAGGCTGGCAGGGTGGGGGATGCTGCCGAGGCCCCTCTCTGTGGAGGCCCCAGGCCTAGCCTGTGATTAAGCTCACGCTCCAGCACCCCCTTGCAGCACCTGCGGCTCAGGGTGTAGGCCCATGCCTGCTTCCCCCGCCCCAGTCTAGAGCCACCTCCAACCCAAAGCAGGAGACTGGAGCTGGAGCCTCTGCCGCATCCTGGCCAGGCCTCCACCCCCTCAGAGCCTCAGGAGGCTCTGAGCTCCTTTCCTTAGTCAACCAGATAGGAGGAAATCGACCCATAGTCCTCTGAAACCTTGACCCACGTACCCCTTCTGCTGAGAAGCTACTGCTAAAAGGACTCAGAAGGGTGAAGAAGTGAGGGGATTCCACCAGGCACTTCGTAAGGACCCTACTGCACGTCCATTCAATGAGTTTTAATGTGTATTGCAGAGCTGATTGCTTCAAAGTGACATCTGTGTCTTGTTGGTCTAAGAAATCAAGCAATAATACAGGTGGAAATGATCCTTAATAGTATTTATCAAGCCCTTAGACCATGTCAGGCACTATGCCTAGCAGGTAACATAGAAATAGTTCAATTCATCTCCAAAAAAACGATCATGTGTTAGAGGAACTATCATTTCTTCTCTTTCTGAGGAGGAACTTGAGGCTTAGAGCATTTGAATAATTTGTCCAGGATTGCACAATGTAATATAATAAAGCTTAGTTCAAAGGAAGGATGTTCGATTCCAGAAGCCACAGCGATTTCCAGAAGCATGATCTGAATGTTAGACATGGTGTTGAGTCAGTGCTATACTTAGGGAAGGCAAGTGAAGTTTCCCAGCAGATAAAAAACTGAGACTTTCCTGTGGATGGTTGTGACTGTAGATAACACACATTCATCTGAGATATAAAATTATGAGTAGCAAGACTCACCCACTTGATTTGGGAATTCTACCCATGCAAGTGCATGGGTGGTCAGAGGTCACGGGAGATTTGGGTTCTCAGGTGAACCCTATAGTTCGGCTTTTAAGTCCACAGTGGATTTATGACCAAGACTCAAGTATGTTTTCATCCCTGACTGGTGTGTGACGTTCTAATAATGCGAAGCTTTCATTTTCTACATCAGATTAAAATGATGGCTATTAAAACAGAAAATTAGACTGCTTTACTTCCCTTGGCTGAGAGATGAGACGGTTGAGTCAAGACTGAGGAAATTTAATTTAAAGAAAGTATTCAGTTTTCTGTACAGCCTGAGAAATGGCTCCTAAATATGTTATGGCCAAGCATCACATCTCTGAATTTCAGGGAAACAATTATGGTTTAGTGAAAACTTTCATTGGCATACATGATAGTGAAAGTATAAACCTTTTTAAAAAATATTGATTTGTATAGTTTTTTTTTCCTAACAACAAAAACAGAAGTTGAAGACAACCAGTCCAAAGTACTGATATCAAAATGTGACAAACGAAAAAACAGTTGTTTACAAATTTTAAGAAGTCTAAAGATGTCTTTGGGAAGAGCTAACAGATGAAAACAATATGTTGAGAAAGAGGCTTTCGAATGGGAAAACCTGTGGGGTGTCCCAGCGCCATCTCTTTCTAATGGTGTCAACTGGGCAGTTACCCTCCCTAAACTTCAGCTTTTCAGTCTGTCAAGGAACGATAACAATACACTTGCCTTACTATGGTTGTCAAAGGAAAACCATGTTTGTAAAGCACCTGCCTAGCTCAGGGCTACTGCCAAGTACACAGTCATGAGTTGTTTGGTGCCTGGGACAGGTTCTGAGAAACGCATTGTGATGGCATTATAGAGCAAACTTCCATGAACTACGACAACTACAGTGTCATTAGATAATACAGATGTAAGGGGGCCATATATGGCCCGTTGTTGACCCAAATGCTGTTACACTGCTCATGACTAAGTTAAATATTGCAAGTTCTTGTTTATTTGAAGTTTTTGAAGCTACACCTGAGTTGCTTGGAGATTCTTGAGTAAAACACAAAAAGTAGAATTTGATCTAATTTCCACTAGGAGACAAATCATGTTATTATTATTATTATTATTATTATTATTATTATTTTGCAACTTACCTGACTTCCTTCCTTGGGCAACCATTGCCAGGAGGTACAATTTGAAGCCGATCAATGAGGCGTATAGGGATGAAGATGGAAGTCTCTTGCACACATTCACACTTCATGTCTGTGTAGGAAATCTCCAGGAGACCTGTGAACATGGTCAGTTGTTTTGATCCCTTTGGTATATAATCAGTTCAGAGAACATATTATATTTCTTTTTTTAAAAAAATGTTTATTCGTTTATTTGAAAGGCAGAGAGAGCAAGAGCAAAGGGAGAAAGAGAAACACAGTTCTTTCAGCCACAGATTTGTTCCCCAAATTCCTGACCAGCGCAGGGCAGGCCAGGTTGTAGACAGGAGACTTGAACTTCTAGGTCTCCCACCTGAGTGATAGGGATTCAGGTGGTTAAGCCAAGCACCTGCTGCATCCCAAGATTCACGTTAGCAGAAATCTAGGTTGGAGGTAGAGTAGTAGGTATACCCTGATAGGGGATGGAGGCCTCCCATGCACAGCTTAATGTGCTGTACAGCAGCATCTCTGCTCATTCTTTATCTACCATGCTAGGCAGTTGAAGATTTAAACATTTCAAGTCAGCATTCCCATCCATATGCCTTTAATTTGCATAGATCTGTCCCAGCTTGACTATTTGCAAGCATTTTCTACCAAAATCTTATTGAAAATTAGCTTCTATAAAACATAGCACTGACTGAAATTTGTGGTAGCCTTCTATGGGTACTCACGATATTGTCTGTATAATAATGTGTGAAAAGTGCTACTCGGTAATAATTAATGTAGCATGGGATCAACTGGTCTTCACTCCCAGCTCAAACAAACCCAGGGCATGACCTGATGGCAGGACTGTGTTGATGGATCAGTGACACTACTAGTTGTTGTTGCTGTTGTTAAAAATTTTTATCATTTTTACACAACACATTGATCTTCCCCTCAGTTGCAAATCATTACCAAATAAAAACCAATAACAAAAATTTAGGAATATTTTATCTATAAAAATTATTACCGTTGGATATTTTTAGAAGTAATCTCTCACATATATTTTAATAAAATCCAATTTTTAAAAAATGTGTTGCATCCCCTTTATCCATAGTGCCTACTCAGATTTTCACAACATTTAATAAGAAAACAAGTAAATAAAACGAAAATGACAAATATTGTATGAGAGCCATTTCAAAGCTTGTGAGAAAATGATATTAAAAGATGCTACGTTAGTGCAAATACATTTGAAATCCATGCACAAGTTTTAATAATATGTGTTTTTCATGATGTCTCCAAAGACCGTGGATATCCATGGATTTGAAAGATTTACTTGCAACTAAAATAAATGTAGCTTTGAGTTCTATTTCCCCTGGACTTTTTGAAGTTCCCTCGTATGACCCTGAGGTCCAAGCTGAAGCTAGGAAGGTGAGGACTTACTCATCGCAAACTATGCGAAAAGCAATGGGAAAACTTCACGAGGAGTAGAAAAATGAGGGGCTTGAGGAATGAAAGTAACACAGAAAACAACATAGCAAGGGGAAAAAGAATCTGCTTTTTTAGGAACAAAGTCTACCTTCTCCCTGAGCAGAGTACACATGGTTTTTTTTCCCCTCTGGCAGTCTACAAACCTTCCCCTTTGCCTGGACATTTATCTGCACATGTGGCTGCTCCACGCAGCTTGCAAGTCTGCTTCCGTACAGACTGTATATGCTTTCTCCCTCCTGTTCATGTGGTGCCTGGCATCCGATGTAAGCACGGGAATTGCATTAAGATGTTCACTTCAAGGCACTGGTTGAGATCAATCTTTAAACCTTTGAAAGTGATTGGCCAGAGGGTGAAGCATTAACAGGCAGGAGCAGTGAGCCAGACATGTACAGAATTAGCTGTATAGGAGCTGAATCTGAAGAAGACCAGCAACATACAAAACAAACATAAGCCACAGGGACATTGGACTCCCAACATAGCCTCCTTGTAAGAAGAAAAATTCTAACAATACAAATACTGTCCATTTCTAAGAGTTAATCCTTAAGCACCTTGCCTTTTAACCATCTAGAAGCAACTGAGCAGTTTTTCCCCCTTTGGGGAGACTTCCTTTTAGGTTTCAATGGAAACGGCTGAAGACAGTTTCTGTTTAAAGGACAGGGAAGGCACAAGTGAAAGTTCTCACCGTGGGCTGGAGGGAGGCTGCTGACCAGCAGTGTGAGCAGCAGAGATGCGGGGGCGAGCCTCATTCTGCCTGCTGGTGTGGTTCCGGCTGCAGCCTTAGGTCCACGCTGTGGGTTTCCACCCCGGACCCTCCTATTTATTCATATCTCTAAGGGCCCTCCCACTGCCTTTGTCTCCAGTAGGTCAGCTGCATCATCAGTTTTAAAACCCCCCAAATATTGCTGAGCTTGCTTTTTAAAAGAAAAAAAAAAACCCCAACTCTTCTTACAAACTTTATGAATATGCTTCAGAGTACTATAAACATAGTAAACGGTTTGTGGAACATGTGAACTCCCAAGTGCCAGGGATGCTGCAGATAGGTGAGGGCAGAGAGAGGAAAAAGCCCCACTTTAGAGGTTCTACGGCACTCTGTTTAGGGTTGCTGTGGGTGATTGGAGCTTTGGTAGCTTGTATTGATGAAGAGCCTTTGAGAACTGCTTCTCCAGTGTGTGTGTGTGTGTGTGTGTGTGGGTGTGTGGGTGTGTGGGTATGTGTGTGTGTGTTCCATGATGCTAGGGACACTTTTGGGCACATAACTCTATCCCCAGCACCTGCGAAACAGCCTAGTCCTTGGCAGGTGCTCAGTAAATATTTGCACACCTGTTATATACACAGTCTGATGCTGATTATGCTACAGGATTTCCTGCCTCTCTTTTCCACCTCTTGTTTGATTCTCTGAAGTATGTGGTTACTTGTGTAGTCTGACCACCATGGAAGTCTTGGAAAAAGCCAGCATGTGTCCTCAACTTGGCGTGCCTATGTCTCAAGGAAGGGATGGAGGCCATGGCTCTGAGGAACAGAATCTTTCAGCTGTGGTCTGCAAGTTACTGTTGGGAGAACCATGTGTTAGGGGAAGGAGCCTTTAGGAAGTTATCGAATGTTGAGGCTCGTCTTAGTCTGTTTAACAAAGGCACGTGTGAGGTTTGGTTCTGGTCCCACCAAATAAATAGTTCATAGGGGGTAATCAGCCCGCAGCCTTAACTTACAGAATAGCAGCTATTGATTAAGAAATAAAGCACATAGACAATGGCCAGACTTGACTATGGACCCTGAACTGCTCTGGTATGAACAGGTATGAATGCATCAAATCAGAGACAGATACACCAAAGAATCGGTGCTTGGTTGTCTTAACTCTTCAACAATTTGGTGCTGTGCGTATCCACTAGCACTGTGGATGTTGAGCATGCCAGGTGCTCCAGCATGTATGGGACTGCAGGGTAATCGCACCATGGACTCTTCATACAGCATGTAGTTCCCTGTTAGGCTGTGACGGCTACAGTGATAGGGAAGGCATTCCTCTTCAGGCAGCCTGGTCACTGGCTAGCGGTTCTAGATAGTCAGAGAGCTCCTAAGCTAATTTCTCAATACTTGAGTGATTTTGTCTGGATTCAGCCGTTATCACCACCCAAAAGAAGGCTACATGTGCTTCCAGATTTGGGCACTCGGAATGCTTGAGGTCAACTGGAGCCTGCTGGCTTCTCTATAAAGCAGATGCTGATATGGGCTTCAGAGCAAACGGAGTTTGTTCAGAACAATTTCTGTGATCAGAAGGAGCGTGGAGAGAGGGAGGAGGCAGGATTGCCATGCTAATCCTCTAGTCTGTGACAATTCACTGTTGAGTTCTGGAAAGAAGACTGACCCCAGAGTCAAGAGGTTGGCATGGCAGCTCAAATGCTGCTTGGGGGTCCCATCCTGTGTCCCAGTGCCTGTGCTGCAGTCTTGGCTCTGGTCCTGCTTCCGGTTCTCTGTAAAGGCCCACTCTGGGAGGTGGCCATGACAGCTTGAGTGCTTGGGTCCCTGACATTCACACAAGGGGATCTGAACTGAGTTCTCAGTCCTGGGCTGTTGGTTACTGGAGGGTAAAGCAGTGGATGATCTTTTGCTTATTTCTCTCTTTCTAATAAATAAAATACATTTCTTACAAAGGAAAATATTGGCCCATAGAGAAACCCCACAACAGGTAGGAATTTCTAGATCCTATTACTAGTGTCTCATGAGGTCACTGGCTAGGGTATCTCAGAAACAGAGGGTCTCTAATAAAAACTCCAAAGCTAGAGATTGTGCAGTGGCTCAACAGGCTAATGGTCTTCCTGCAAGTGCCAACATACAATATGCATGCTGGTTCATGTACAGGCTGCTCCACTTTCTATCCAGCTCCCTGCTTGTGGCCTGGCAAAGCAGTCGAGGATGGCCTAATCTTTAGGACCCTGCACCTGGAGACCTGGAAGAAGCTCTTGGCTCCTGACTTCAGTTCATCTTAGCCCTGGCCATTGTGGCCATTTGGGGAGTGAGCCAGCAGATTGAAGATCTTCATCTGTTTGTGTCTTCTTCTTTGTAAATCTCTCTTCAGGTGAAAATAAAGAAATATATATAGGAAAATTAATCCAAAGCCAACTCTGAAGGGATTAACAACTGCAGACACTCAGCTTTTTACATACCTTGCCACTGAACTAGCCAGTAATTTGCGTTGTTATTTAATTTATTTTCATTTAAAATTTACATATTTCAAAGACAATGACCCAGACAGAGTGATCTCCCATTTCCCTGTTTACTCCCAAACATGTGCAGTAGCCAGGGCTGTGTCAGGCCGAGCCAGGAACTCGATCTGGGTCTCTCTACCTGGATGGGAGGAACCTGAGGACTTGAGCCATCTTTCACTGTCTTCCCAGGCACCTTAGCAGAGAGCAGCTGGAGTGGAGAAGTGGAGTCTGGACTTGAAATACATGCTCTATTACAGGATACAAGCTCTGCAACTGGAGACTTCAGTGCTACAATGAAAACCTGTCCAAGAGTTACTTGCTTACAGTTTTTAAAGATTTATTATATTTTTATTTGAAAGAGAGAGTTACAGAGAGAGGAGAGACATCTTCCATCTGCTGGTTTATTCCCCAAAAGGCTGTAGTGGCTGGAGCTGGGCTGATGTGAAGCCAGGAGCCAGGAGTTTCTTCTGAGTCTCCCATGTGGGTATAGGTCCCAAGGCTTTGGGTTGTCCTCAGCTGCTTACCTAGGCCATAAGCAGGGAGCTGGGTTGGAAGTGGAGCCTCAGACACTCAAGCCGCTATCCAAATGGGATGCTGGTGCTGTGGCCAGAGGTTTAGCCTATTATGCCATTGCGCTGGTCATGGTGAGTTATTTCTTGAAGGGAGATCTGTGAGGTATATGCCTTTGGCTGTTCCATAGAATTGTAAGCTAGCAGTTAGGGGTACAAAGTATGGGCACCTGGTCAAGGTTTTGGACAGGCCACTTATCCTCTTTGTGCCTCATATTTACCAGTTTTTGCACAAAAAATCATGCTAATTTCAAAGGATTGTTTGGAAAATAACTAGTGTTATATTCATGTATCCACTCGCCTATCACCATTCGTCCATCCATCATCAGTGTTTTACTGGCTTCTGCTCCAAAAACCGCACTTACACACAAATTTGAATCTATCACTACCTCTGTGAAACTTAGATCTCACTCACACATACCATACACACATGTACTCACTCACACACACACATATTCACTCAAATGCAAACATGCACACACATACACACACTGCCTGCATGTGTCTGAATACCATCTTGTCCCAATCATGTATTTTCCAATACAAAGCAAAGCAACTCCATGGTGTCCTTTGTCTTGTATGTGTTAATTTGTTGACTAATTCATTCCTAATTCTTAATAGCATTATTTTGATCACTTTAATTGGGTTTCCAGGCAGTCACATTCCCTTTGGCAGATGGCAGATTTCCAGTGATGCGTCAGTCATCTCACTCTTGCACAATCTGATCTTGGGACTCACATGTAGGTGCTTTATATCTGCTTCTGCTAGGAGTACATTAAAAGGGAACTTAAAATGTTCACAAAAGGGCCAGTGTTCTGAAAGTGGGGTAAATCACTGCTTACAAGGCTGGTATCCCGTATCAGTGCAGGTTCTAGTCCTAGCTGCTCCACTTCAGGTACAACTTCCATGAGAAATGGTCCAGGAATTTGGGTCTATGCCACCCATGGAGGAGACTAGGCTGGCATTCCTGGCTCCTGGCTTCAGTGTGGCCCAGATTTGGCTACTGTAGCCATTTGGGGGAGTGAAACAGGTGGAAACTCTCACTTTCTGATGCTTTGCCACTCTGATGCTGTCTGCCTTTTAAACTGCCTATTATTTACATTTTACTTTTTTATTATATAAAGGGAGAACATTTCATATATATATAGTTTTAATTTTTCAAAAATGTTCATGAAAAATAGGATGAAACAACAAGGTTAACTGGTTAACTGGTTAGCAGAGCAAAAATGAATGATGCTGACTATAACCATAGAGACAAAGATACCTGGAAGGAAGTTCTAATTAGAGATAGGACATTCCTGAATCGGCATTTGTTAAAACAGGGTCATATGGTCAAGAGCTAACTCCAGGACAATCCTAAAATCTCATTTCTGTCCCTTTAACATCCAAAGTTCTGTACTTACATTAAGGAAATTTTGAAGCAGTCTGTCCCAGGAAAGGCTAGGTGGTTAGATAACCCTCCGATGCTTGGATATACCCCATGATGTGTTCTACAATAGGATAATACAAAACTTTGAAGCCAGAGAAAAGACATTTGAACAATAGCTTCAGGACTAAAATGGGAAGGTCTTATGTTTAAGACAACGCCTACAGATGTCTTTATCTAGACATGGCTTGGTTTCTGTTAAACCTGATCTTTATAGTCAGATAAATAAAAATTGAAGGAAATGAGACAGTCATGGGGAGGTTTTTTCCTTGATGTTGTCATCAAACCAGGTTTTCTCTCTAGATCACCGAAATATTGAGAAGTACAATACCTTGGTACTCAAACTGTGGTGCCTGGACTGAAGCTAGTCAAAATGCAGACCTGCAGGCCTTTCACTTTAGCAGGGTTCCCATGTAATTTGGTTGCGTCTTGAGGCACAGGCTGTACAATGACGGATCTGTCTTTGGATGGACCATTTGTATATTCACATTCCCTGCAGAGAAGTCCGGGAAGACTTCTCTGAACACAATGTGCAGCTAACTCAGAAAATG